GGATACGAAGGCCATTGAGAGTACAAGGGCCCCAAAACCTATAAATTTTACGTTCCTGGGCCCTGGTACTTTGAATGACCTGCACTAAAGTCATCAAGTTCATTTTCTGTTTGCTTAGGACAAACTCAGCATGAGTTTAATGAATTCGTGACTCTCACGTCCGGAAATGAAGGGCATCGGATTCGTGATGCAAATCTACAGATTTATAAATACAAATATCAGATGTCAGATACAGACATAGATACCAGTTGTTTTATTGCATCATTGCAGTAATTGAAAAGGATGTTTGTATCACATGGTGTGCTCGTATATGACTCGTTTGCAAATAGCAGTCTTGCAAAATCCAACGCCATTCTCGACTCTTGTTACAAACGCCATCGTAAATGCACAGTAGAAAGTACGACAGAAGACCCGCGTTCATTTCGCCACATATTCAAGGCCCTACCTTTCTCATCCACTCGTACTCCGCCATCTCCTTTACGTAATCCGACTGGCTGAAATTCGTGGCGGCGCCGACGCCCCTCAGGCGCACGAGGGCACGGTCATAGTGCTTCGCTGCAGTCTCCTCGTGCAGATAGAGTCCAAGGTAGATGTGGCGGCTGCCATGCACTCCAATGCGAGACTCCCAACGGCCTGCATGGAGCAATTTTTCCATGAAAATTTGGCCTAATTTATTCAAACACCAATTTGGTTTATTTTCGTTATTTGGTTTATTGTATTGCATGAAAATTGGATTTGTTTTCCCATGCAAATTTCATTCGCGTACACGCACATGAATAGCAGCGTAATATGATGACCCAATTAAAGCCAAACAGTATATATTTATTGTAGATCTATCTAAACCATCAACATAATCCAGACAATGTGTACACACATTGTCTGGATTGTGTTCGTTTACAGTAATAGTTCGCTTCTGTTGCGTTATCTAATGTTTGTTTGTTGAAAATAAATACGAATCCCAATATTGGTGGGTCATCAGCAGCAAATTGATTTTGTCACGATCAACAGTAGACATCTATCACATTGATATGTTGTTTAAACAATACTGCTGAAAGCATACTCATATTTACAATGCATCGTAGTGTGCGCGGTGGGCTCCGCGCTTGCGATGAGCCACTGATCGTTGTGCCCGAGAACACCTTGCAAGGCGTTTGAGAGGTGGACTATCTATTGCCCACCAGAATGGACGATTTGGCATTGCCTGAAAAGCGCGTGAGTTCCAGACGCTGCCAAGGACCTCAAGCAGCGATTTAGTGAAGAACACCAAGCAAGGCAAATGTCGCTTGCTGACCACAAAGGTGGTGAGTACGAAGATTCCAGCTCGTTGGCTGTGCGTTTGACTACTAACTGTACCTAACTCACCAAGTCAAATCAGTTGCCAAATGTGACTGAATCAATCGATCCAATTGTTTGCAAACATTTTCCAGCTATAACTGAGGAAGCTAAGCAAAAATGAGTCTGGCAAATGGAACTTAGCTAAAATTTTCATCATCGCGGAAGGGCAATCAACCACATGCCAGCTCTATGGATAGCATTTTATCAAAATCTGAAATACTTGATTATAGCAGGAGTTATAGCAATGGTGATAATAGTAATAGTAATAATAATGAAAAGTAGCCTAACACCACTCTTCTTTTTCCGCAATTCCTGTATTCACTAACACTAGTATTATTAGTTTTCCAAATGTCTTAAATGCAGCAGTTTACCCACAGCAACTTGGTAATGCCATGAAATAGTACGATATCTTTTCCTTAGATAAGTCACAGTCCAATTACCATAAATGTTGCATAACAACAAGTAGCAATAATTAGAACAATGTGAATTATTATATCAACATAGATTATTCTGAAAATATATTCTGATGATTTCCCCAATAGCGGCAATATGGATTTAGTCAAAAAAGTACCAGTCTTGAAGGAAGGTAGAGGGTGTAACATTTTAGATAGTTTAAGGAAGAAATGCGGCTGTTTCGTTTTGCAGTACATCAGATAGCACGCTCACCAGTTGGGTGCCGAGTGACTCCCCTGTACTTGGAGCTTCCGCGAGAGAAGCCCTTGCTGCGGCGCCTCAGGCACGTAACCAGTTCGGGGAGCGTAACACCCTGTAACCAGCTCCACAAGGGAAGGTACCTGGAGAATTGGACGTGGGGCTTAATATAACTTCCTCTGTTTATCCCTCCCATCAATTGAGAAGCCGAGGTCAAAGGCAGCAACGCTATTGCCATTTTTAACGCTTCTGATTCTTAGTTCAGATAGGAATTTGAAAACCACCACACAGAGGCATCGGGAACTATATAAAGTTCCGTAATTACGTTTTCCGCCATGAGCGGTCGCAATCGGTTCATTTTCTATTCCCTGCTGTAATTCGTGGTCTATCAGTGCAAACCCTGTGCGGCCGACAGCAAATCACAAAAAAGATATCCGACATAACAGCTTAGTTAGATAATTGCACTAAATTGTTCGGTTTATATATTTAACTGAAATAACAGAATCAGAAAACTTATGATAGTCTCATAAATTTTGCAAAATTTGTTAATTACAGCAGCTCTACCAGCCACCTGATTTAATCGTTGGTGTATTTGATTACTTTCTTTTGTTAATCACATTCTGTTTAATTTTCTAATCATCCGTGCAAACACATCCGACTTTAGTGATGTCAACTAAATATTGCCATATCTGAAAATTTTGATGCCATTCCCAGTGGAATGGTGGACATTTCCTCCCTTACCGGCGAAAGATGCCGTGAAGATTTCTTGGGGAATAACGTGGTGTAAGACTGAGCGTTTTACAGCACTTGCTGTTACGAGAGTTTCCTGGAATGGAGCACGTGTTATTTGGCCCTTTTCTTCCTAATGTTGTGGATGCGTTTGAAATCAGTCGGAGGGTGGGCCATCTTTCGCACTTGCATCTGGCGAGTTTCTGGCACCGGGAGAGAAGGAGGAGCAGGGCGTGTAGCTTGGCGTACTTTACATTTGCGGCATAATTTTTAATCCTAGATTTTCTTCAGTTGTTGCATTTTCATACATGACCCATTGAACCATTTGCGGTGCCCCATGGAAAGCCCACTGTACTGTTTTTGGGAGCGGCTGACTTCGCGGAGCAACTTATAGTGCGCAGTTTTTCTCGTCGACTGTTAGTTTCTTATACACAGTCCATAAAATTGGGGTGTATTGAGTCAATGCTGATTTATGTATTGGGGCATATTTAGCTACTTTGACGTATTAATTATTATAATTTAATTATAATTTAGTTACTGGGTATAACAAGACGGGGTATAGAAAATCAAATTTGATCGATGTTGATTTAAAACATATGTTGGGGTCCCATTTGGGGGGGTAAATTATAACGGTCGTCCACCTTTTGACGTCGAAGTTTGTAGACGCCGTGAGCCCCTTGCTCTTTATGGCTATCATGTCATAGGCTGCTGCAGCGTCCTCCGGAACGTCAAACCCGCCGAGATATATCTGGCGCCCGTAGTCATTCACCCAAATGTGGGCCTCCCACCTGAAAAGCGCATGCTTCAGTAATGGCACTAACCGGAAAGTAAATTCAAATACTACTTCAATAGCTTTGGTAACTAAACTAAATATTGGTGGACTATTTAGTTCAACAATAGCAGTTGATGTCTTGCTCATCCCAATACGAGCCTCTCAACTGGGGACAACGATCTTTTTGATGAATGTGAATGTGCTTTTGCTATGGATAGTGAGTCATGGAATTCAATACAAAATTGCCAAAATAATTAAGAGCCAGCACAAACAATCACTCAGTTTCATTGATGTTTGTTTCTAACGAACGTGCGGGCAACAATTTCACAGCCGAAATGATATACAACAGTAAGTTAATATATTCAATTTCTTGCTTTTAGGACCCACCTGTGGACCTCTCGATCAGTCAACCCATATGTTTGCTGACCGATTTCTAAACGAATGAATTCGCGCTTATATATACCAACGCATAAATGTGTCAGCCATTAGCCTAATTAGTATATCAATAAATATCCCAATTAGTAATCGCCATGAGAATCAGCGCACTGCCATTCAGGGTGAATACACGCTTTCAGTCAAACGTGCACAGGCCCGGTACTCAAACATAACAGACAGCAGCGCGACTGTCCTTGTCACACTAATAATACAACTCACTGATTTGCAATGACATCTGCACAAGACTTACCACACAACATGCCAATCAAGCGTCAATCAATGAACGCCAGTTGCAAAACCAAACAATAGTTATCAGTAACACTTATGTTCAGCTGCAATATCAACAATATTGTAGCGATTACGCATCATCTCCTTTTGTAGTTCCAGTAAAAAATGCGATACGTAAATAGCTATGGATGCCATAAATTAAATGCCGCGTTGGCATCAATACGCACTTAATATTTAGTATTAATACTTAACATCTCATTTTTAACATATAATTGGTTGACTGAGCCACACCTGCCGCTCCTTTTGTGCTTGCTGACCCCGTTGTACCGCGACGTCTTTTTCGGCGACTTGCCCTGCGCCCTCCGTTCCCTGAGGCCCGCCGCCTCCATTCCCCGACCCTGTGGGTCAGCGACAGCGTTGACTTGCAACGCGGACGCGACCGGGCCCCCGGGCTGGTGCCTCGGGCGCAGCTTCTTCTCGGGTATCAAAAACTCCGCGCAGGCCGCCATGGGCGTGTCCGACGACTGGCACGAATTTCCGCCTTCCGTCGCAGTACTAAAAGCGCAGAGCGAGTCGGACCTTGGGGCGCCGCCCGCCACAGTACTTAAGCCACTGTCGGACTCGTTCGCAGTACTTAAGGCCAAATTCGCGGAATTGGGCAGAACAGCGCTGCTCGGAAGCCCCTGCGCAGCGCCCTCCACAATGTCCGAATGCTCCCAGTACATTGCCGTCGATCGGTCCCCGGCGCCCATGCCCGCCCCGATCGTCATGGATCCGCCCTTGAGACCCGCTCCCATGGCCGGATCGCCCCCTGGGCCCTCGGAGCACCCCGCCTCGGCGCCCTTGAAGTACTGGAGAGCGGTGTTAGTCATCGTCTGATCATTCAACCCGCAAACCGCCCCGGAAGACGGCCAGATGGCCGGGGGGGGCTTGGAGGCGCACCTGGAGGGAATGGGCGGCAGGGCGATCGTTGACTGGTCAACGGTATGGGCGGGCGAAAAGGCGGCGCCCGCGTTCCTAGGCGCCAGAACGGGCTCCGGGAGGGGCGCGGAGGCGGACTGGTCGGCGAATATGGAAATCGGCCAAAAGTCTGCAGCACATTAAACCGAGTATTAGTACAGAGATTAGCAATATTCTGGAGCAGGACACACCTGTTTGTAAGAAAATACTTGAGCTCAATCGTTCTGTGGACTTAGCGATATTTTCACCTATGATCGATTGGTCATTGTAAGCATTGTATATTTCAAGCATTGTGGTTCATTGCAGCAGTAAGGTACAAGTGGACCTTCAAGATGCGCATTTTATGGTTCAATTCTGTCCTCTTCAATATTGACTCACTCGGGAATTGACTAACCTGAATTCACGCTAGTTCAGCTCAACTACATTTCCTATAGTTAAGTTCATGTCCGTCACGTTCAGCCAGTGCTAAAGACCGAATCGCGCCTTTCAGCTCGTTGCGGTACAATCCAACAGATAGATTCGCAATAGCTCGTCCCACTTACAGCAGGATTGTTTCCCAGGAACAAATGTAGCAGCGATTTTCAGGAGGTTGTTCTTCCAGTGCAACAGGACATCATCGTCATCAAAATCATTGGATTACGTTTGTCACAAAATGACAAAGCGCAGCCCGAGCACCTGGCAGGAGATGATGGGCATGAAAACCAAGCAGATGGCTTGTTCCGAATCGATTGTTCATGGTTACGTGTAACAGGACATCAGCTGGCGAAAAGTGCAAAGGAAAACACGCCAAAGCAACACGATATCTGCCCATTCCCATCCTTGTACGCACTTCCAATCCGTGGTTCCCGGTGATTGACACAGTGAACACGCGCCCGGATTCCGCAAAATGGCTCAATTCGTCTCCAACCGCGGCTTCAACTGGCGCTCCTCCATGCAAAGCGGTGCCCGCCATGGCTCTCCGCATGGAAAGGCAGCACAGACACTAGGAAAAAAAGATCCAACTAACACGTGTTCAAACTTATACAAAATTTACGAATTTGTGTTATTTTGTGTTCTTAGCATGCAGAACTTTGATTAAATGTGTTTTATGTTTGTCCGAAAAAGTGCTGTTTGGTCCTGTTTCTTTTATTGGGAAACAAGCATGAGGAACAGGAGGCTCGCATACAATTCCCCAGGAGGGGGTGCCTTTTGCTTCACCAGTTTCTCTTTCTCTTTGCAACAAGTCTTTGTATCCGTGCCCGCGATGCATTCTGATAGGTCGCGTATTGCGGGCACAGCGCGGACGGCGACATGCACATCTTTTTCATAACGCCATATGCAGGAAATGTTCTTCTTCCTTGAGTCCAACGTTTGTCTTTGGAACCGATAATTCTTACCCTGGCTCTCCGCCCTCAAGATGGCCCCCTCTCGCGCCGCTCCCTCCGCCTCCCAGCTCTCCACAAATTCATTCGAAGCGACGCCCCCCTGGGCCAAACGCCGCCCATTCACTGTTTCAATTCCATTACCGCCAATCGTCCCAGTGGCCGCAGAACCTGCTGCCCCAAAATTCATATTTCTCGCCAAATTTGGCCTCAGGATTGAACCCGGGACGCACTCTCCCCCGCTGCACCCAAATTTCGCCCCCCCCAAAAAACCGCCGGAAATCGAATCGAATCGAATCGGAAGGCTCGAAATCGAATCGGCGGCGCGGATGGGCGCCGACCCGTCCAGGGAGAGCGGCGGCTCAAAGCAGTGCAGCGTGGGGGCCTGCCGCTGGGCCCCCTGGCCCGCCACGCATCCAACCGTCCCTCGAGAAATTCCTGCGCCGCATGGGCGCCCGGATTCGCCCCCCGCCCCCGCATCCATGCGAATCCGCTGCTCCCCGATCGGATTCATTCGCATCCAGGACGGAGCCTGCCCATGGCCGCCAAGTCGGAAGGTCCGATTCTCGGGCCGCACGGCGATCGCCTCGTTCCGTAGACCGTCAAAAACGTCCAAGGTGGGGCGATCCATGCCAATCGGCTGCGCCCCCCATGCATTCATGAGCCCCTTTGGCCGCTCCAATGCCCTCCGCCTCTATTGAACGCCGTCTTGCGACGCCCGCTCTGAGCAGCCTTTGATCCGCTCGCCCGCTTTGTCAAGCGCCTGCGCAGTCCAGCCCGTTTAAAAATGCATGTTGGGGTGGGTGTGGGGGGGTGCTCGCGCCAATCTGTGGCCCACGAGCCATGTGCGTGCTTCTAGGTCAAGACCGTCCCCGAAGCATCGGTTGGGCGGAACAGCAACGGGCAACTTTGTCCAATACCCGCTCGGCCTGACTCGCGGCAAGTGCGCTTGGCGCGGTTTTCACACATCCAGAATGGGCGGCTGAAAAATCTGCCCACGTCGCACATGCGCTCGAGTGCCTTTACGCCGCCAGCTTGCCCCACCGCTGTTACAGAAACCAGAATCTGCGCCTCGCAAGAACCGCATGGGCTTTCGCCATGAGTCTCACCTCCAGAAACGCCGACAGCTGTCGGAGCCCCTTCCGAAACGCCAACTCGCCAAGCGGCGCAGCGGGATTGTCACGCGGCGCTTCGCAGGCCGAGCCAGCGACCTCGGGAAGGCTCGACACGCGGCGAGCGGCCCAGAGGACGGTGCCCATGTCGGAGTCATCCGCGGCAAAGCCCTCAAACAGGTACGTACAGCGTGGTAG